GTCCCTCCCCTGCCGCCATGCCTCGTGCAGGCTTGTTGTCTCCCTCCCTCCCTTCTCTTCCATCCCAGGTGGGTGTTAGCAGTGCCACGGGCCCATCTTCCTGAAAACATCTGCTTAGCCACGCTTTTGCCTTGATAATCTTTGTCAGATCCACCTTACCCTCCAGCTGGCGTGGCGGCGCCTTGGCCCAACCCAGAGGCTGGAGGGAAGAAGAGGAAAACAGCCCTCCTTGTGTCCCGGGACTTCTGGGTGTCTCGGCCAGCACAGCCCGGAGCTCCGCACAGTGGGTGTACCCTGGGACTGCCCAGCCTCACGATGGGGAGGCCGGAAGGAGCAGCTCCGTCCCTGACGACACTGTGGCTCTGCTTTCCATTTGGGTCATGAGGCAGTGGCTCTGCCTCTTGTCAAGTCAATCAAGTCTCTAAAACAGCTCTGAAGCCAGCCCATGCGTCGACGGGGAAGTCTCGCCATCCCTGTGGAAGGCGTCTTGGTGGTGGGCTTGGTCTAGTGTCCTCCTGGATGGGTGGAGGACCCAGGTGGCGGACAAGTCCTCGTGAGTTATGGGGCTCCTGCGGGTTGGGTGGCAGCGCTGCTCGGAGGGGGATGTGTCTCTCTGGGCCGGCTGTGGGGCGCGTCACCTGTATTCCTCGCCGCCCTCCTCACTGTTGCCTTGGTTACTGGTCTGAGCTTCAGCTAACCGGATGAGTTATTTTCTTCTTCAGAGTGTGATATAAAAATTGTATATACGTGCACACATGCATAAAAAACCCTCAGCAGTTGTGATGACGTTTTGTTGCTTCCCCGTGCTTCTAGAAGTCACACGTGTTCATGGTGGAACACTTGAAAACACAGACACGGAAGGGCCGGGGAAAGCAGAGGCGAGGAAGAGGCACCTGCGTTTTCTGCCCTCAGCAGCCAGTGGCGCCTGAGACACCTCGTGTGCCTGTCCTGTGTCCTCCAAACGTGTGTCCTGTGTCCCCGTATGTGGAGTGGTAATGACGGACGTGGAGCCGCAGGCTCTCTCACCCGGGTCCTGTGTCCCAGGAGGTGCCCCACTTGCTCGGTGGCTTTCCCGAGAAGCGGCTCACACCACACAGCGCACCCGTTTGCCGGCGGAGCCCTTCCCCTCCCCAGAGCCCCATGCGGCCGGGGGGCGGGTTCCTGAATCCGTGGTGCTCGGCCTCGAACCCCTGCGGCTGCTTCCCCCGCCCTTCGTGTCTCTGGCTCCCGTGGGAGAGTTTGCCGCGTTTGGACTTCCCATCGAGTTCCTGATAATTAATTTGCATGTGTGTGCGTGTCTGGTTTTTATATTCTGTATTCCTCCGAGACAAATACATTCCCTCACACACACTTTTTAGGTGAAAAGATCGAATAGTTAACTGGATGCACCCGCGTGCACACGCGGTCTGTCCAGAAAGGGCCACTGCGCAGTGTGAAGAACGGAGACTTGTTCACAGAGACACGGAATACGAGAAACGCTGCACACGGGACGGTGACGCCTCGGTCCCCTTCAGAGTGGGCACCTGGGGACCTCGGTCCCCTTCAGAGTGGGCACCTGGGGACCTCGGTCCCCTTCAGAGTGGGCACCTGGGGACCCCGCGCAGTCCTGCCGGTCGCCGGAGGCCGCCCTGCTGTGCTTTCCTGAATCTCGTCGATGGTCTGAAAGCTCTTGCCTTTCAAAGGGACTTTAGTTTTGGGAAAAGCCGGAAGTTCTTCCGATCTCAATGATAAATCTTTGCACACATTTCTTCAATTTGCTTCTCAAACCAGGGCCCGCGATGGGGAGGGAGCGCTGTGTGCCCTTGGGGAAGGCGGCAGCGGGCTGGGCCTTTTCTTTCCCCAGCGCAGCGGAGAGGGGCCTCCGTCCCTTCCCTTCCCTCAGGCCGTTTGATGGGGCTGGGTGGTCTCAGAGAGCAGTGACACTCAGACAGAATTTGGTCTCAGAAAAGAGTGCGCAGACCTGAACGAGGCTCCTGGCTCGCGGCGACCAGCTGAGCCCAGGAGCCCCAGGCTGCACCCTCCTTCCCAGGCCCCGTGGACGCGAGCAGAGGGATACCTGGTGCCAGTGCCCTCCTTTGCTGCTGCGGAGGAGGCTCTGATTTTGTGTCAGGGTTTGGCGGGAAAGCTCCATTTGATGTGTTTCTTGCTGGTTTATCGCCTCCTTGTGTGTAGCAGTCTTTGGGGTAGGAGCTGGAGGTGCACCCGCTTTGCCTGTATCCAACAACCCCTGCCCCCGCCCGCCCAGTACATCTACTCTGTCTGCTGTGGTTCCACTTTCTGACTTTGTCTATAAATTATGCATCCGTGCAGCTTCGACTGAGCTCCAGGTTTTCACTGGATGCTCTGACTCTTAATGAGAGAGGCTGGGAATTGGGTGGCTGTGCTTCCGAAAAGCGGGGACAGTGGCAGTTGTGGCAGAGATGGCAAGCCCGCCTGCTTTCCAGTCCCCTTCTGCTCAGCTGGAGTGCTGGGCTGGCGGGCAGGAGTCGAGCTCTTGGGAGGGGACGGAGGGGGAGTGAGCCTGGCTGGGCTCCCTGGGGCTTCTCCACCCTGCCTCACACCGGGCAGGCCGTGCCGGTCAGCCTGGCGTTCCATGTCTCGGGGTGGCCGTGGCGCTTCCTCGACTGCCTTTTAAAAGTGTGTAGTTTGTCACGTCAGCTCGGTGGGAGGAAGCGAGTAAAGGAACCTGTGTGACTGTTTTGAATTCTTCAGTAACAGGCGCCAATGTCTTGGTGATTGGCGAGGTGACCTGCACTGGGGTGGAAGGGCGTCCATAGTCCAGGCCCACAGGCCCCACCTGCTGCCGAGGGCCTGCCAGCACCGCACGCTGGGAGGTCTCCCAGCTCGTGCTGGGACAGGGCTCAGCGGTGTCCCCCCCTGTGGGGGCTGCCGTGCTCCCAGCACTGGCCTCCCCTGGGTGTCACGTGAAGCGCGGGGTGCGGGCCATGTCATCCTTTCAGAACCCCAAGAAGCTGCATTTCCAAACACCCTGTCCCCAGCCTCTCCATCCAGTGACCGAGGTGACGGCCAGGTTTCTGGCTGGGCCCAGAACCGTAAGGCAGCATGCTGCCTGCCTGCGGGGGGACAGACCCTCAGACACCACTGCGCCCTGGCTGACACGTCTGAGGTCGCATGCTCTGGGTGGTCACTCGCAGCTTTCCAGTTTTCGGAATGGTGCTCTTTGCAAATTCCGAGTTAACCTCTGGGGGTGGCTTCTGCCCTCTTTAGTGACACTGCACTGCAGAGAGATGTGTCAGGCCCAGAACGGTTATTGTGTGTGTGTTGTTACGCAGGTTTTGGCACGTTGAGTTGATAGCCCTTACATTTTCTTAGTGCTGTAGCTGTGTTACTAAAAAACGTTAATGCAGAGGTTTTGGAATGAGGTTTCCACAGAAATGAGGATAAAACACTGAAGAGATGCTCCGGGGTGCAGCGGAGAGTTTAAAGCTCTCCACCTTGGAAGCTAGGCCGTTACTGCGCGGCTCCGCGGGGAGCGAGCTCGAGGCACTTGGGAGGCACAAGGCTGTGCGAGGACGCGTCTTCTGTCGGCCGTCGCACCTAGTCGGTCGCCAGGTGCAGGACAGACACGTTCTTGTTCTTGTGCCCGTGTGTTCTTGACATTTGTTTCTTTGTTTATAAGAGTGTATTTATTTTTAGACAGAGGGGAAGGGAGGGTTTGAAAGAGAGGGAGATGAACGGTCGGTGTGTGATTGCCTCCCACGTGGCCCCCACTGGAGACCTGGCCTGCAATCCAGGCCTGTGCCCTGACTGGGAATCGAACTGGTGACCCTTTGGTTTTCAGGCTGGTGCTCAAAATCCACTGAGCCACACCAACCGGGGTTGTTCCTTGTTTTCTTATAAGGCATGGTGCAGGGTGTCCAGCGAGGTGTGTCTGTGTAAGCAGGAGTGAGTGCGTGAGCCCCTCTGTCCTTGTACCCAGAGTGCGTTTCACGTCACAGCTGCCGATGGAGGGCCGGGCAATCTGTGCCCCCGCCTTCATTTAAAGGGCCCGCGGGTCTGTGTGTGGAGTCTCCTGAGCTGCGGTGCGGAGCCTGGACCTTGAGGCTGGGCGGGGTCCTGGGGCGCCTTGGGGCACGGGTGCAAGGTGGTGAGAACAGACGCTGCAGGGGCGTGGAGGAGGCAGGACAGAGAAGGTGGCTCGGGTCTGCAGCAGGTGCTGGGGCACAGGAGCAGGCCGGGGAGCAGGGGAGGCTGCCCTGGTTGAGGCGCCATGTGCCCAGCCCGTGGGCGCTTTCGTTTCCGTTATTTGCCCCTGCACCTAAAGGCGGCTCCAGGAAGCAGGGACTGGGGTCTGGCCTGCGGTCAGGAAGCATTGCCGGGCCTGTGAACGAACGCAGGAGGAGGCCCGGACTCCCGGCCTGGGCCCTCCAGGTCTCCGGCCCACATTTCCCAGCTGACGGGTGCTGGGGGGGCTGGCGTGCAGGACGGTGTCTCGGTGACGGGCCCGAGGCTGTGGCGTGTCCAGCACCTCAGGGCGTAAACAGCAGGCTGGGGGGGGTCTGTGGCCGCCCACAGCCTGGGTGCAGGGTCTGATACGCACAGACTGTGTGAAACTAATCAGGAGAAGCCGCTGATGTCAGTAAACAGTGGCAGTATAAACATGAGTAGAAACCCCACAAAGTACAGGCGATGCAAGGAGCACTACGAATGTCAGCCAAATCAATGTATTTTCCTCTCGTTAAACAAGTGACGACCTTACGTCACGAGTGTGCATGTGTGCAGAAGCCCCGCCGGCGGACGGCCTGGCAGCGTGTTGCGAGCGCCTTGCAGTGTTTACGCTTTGGATCCACTTCTTTCTGGAAATGTGTCAGAAGGAAGCCTGAGAAAGGCCTCTCCTGCCATCTGCCCGCCAGGCTCTGAAACGGCTCGAGGAAGTTGCTCACGGAAGCACCTGGCAGCACAGGTGGCGGAGGCGGGGCTGCAAGCCGGCGCCCATGGCTTCGGTCCTGAAAGGTTTGTTTCTTCTGTCGTGTTTGCAGATGAAGACCGTCAGTGTGGCCTTGGTGTTGTGCCTGAATGTCGGCGTGGACCCCCCGGACGTGGTGAAGACCACCCCCTGCGCGCGGTTAGAGTGCTGGATCGGTAAGTCCTGAGGGTCCCTGCACAGGGCCCTTCCTGCCCCCATGAGCTCTCCGACCCCGACGTTACCTGGGTGCGCTCACCTGGGATTTATGGTGGAGAAAGTCTCTCACAGAAAACCAGTGGAAGCATGGTCGTCAAACTCCATGACCTTCTCCTTTCAGTTCGCCCCACACCTGGCACCTAAGAGTCGCTCTCGATGCTCAAAAGCTAGAGCAACAGACACCTGCATGCAGGTGCCTCCCTCCCGCAGTGAGGTGGCCTGTCTGTCCCCCTGAGACACTACCCAGTTTGTGGTCACCGTCCCTCTGAGCGACTCCAGTGCAGTGCCGACCGTGAGCGGGGCGTGTGCCTGGCCTGCCCCTGTCTCCGCCCCCAGGACGCGAGCGTCAGGCCTCACCATGAAGGACCACGTTAGCCGGGGTTTTTAGATGCCTTTTATACGGCGAGAAGTTCCTGTCTATTTTTAGTTGTTCTGAGTTTTTGTCAAGAATCAGTGTTGACTCTTACAGACGCTTTCTCGGCAGCTGTTGAGATAATCACCTGGCTTTTCTTTCCGGTCTGTTGATGTGGCGAATTAGATCGATTCCCTTCGGCTTGCAGAGCCAACCTCGAGTGCCTGGGGCAAACCCCACTGTGTCTACGGCCTCCTCTCTGCACCGCTGCCGGAGACGCCCGTGCTTGGTTAAGGAGCTTGCTCTCTGTTACGAGGGCCGTTGGTCTGTAGTGTTCTTTTATCCCAACATGTTTGTTTGATTTTGGTACCAAGATAAGTTTGGCCTTATCAAACATTAAAGATGGGAGTTCAAAGTATTCCCATCTTTTCTGTTCAATGGAGTGTGTATATTTGAATTGGGTTTGTTTCTTCTCTAAATTTTGGGGTGAGTTATCAGTGAAGCCACCTCGGTGTGGATTCTCCTTTCCTTCCACTGCTGGTTTATTCCACTTTCTCCCATTGGCAAGACCGGGGACCCCCCGTCTTGCTCGGCGGTGAGCACGAGCAGACACTCCCTTTATCCACCTGAAGGAAAAACACAAGTTCCGCTCTGGTCAGAACTGTGCGGACAGGGCTCGTTTTCCACTTTGCCCGCCCGCCTCGCTCTTCCGGGGGCGTCTCCGGGCACCAGCCCTGCGCGCAGCCCCCTCGCCATCAGCGCAGGCCCCGCCCCCACGCCCAGTGGCAGCCACTGTCATCCGTGGCCGCCGCCCTGGCTCTCCACCATCTCCCGGTGACCATGCTGCTGGGAATCGACTTCTTTTCTGTGGCGGCTTTTGTGTACTTACTTTCAGAGAGAGGGGGACCGGGAGGGAAACACGGCGTGCGAGGGAAACAGCAAGTGGCTGCCTCTCGCTCTCCCCCCACCGGGGGCCTGTGCCCTGACCGGGAATCGACCCTGCGACCCCTCAGTCCGCAGGCCAGCTCTCAACCCACAGAGCCACAGCAGCCGGGTGGAGACTGACTTCTGGTCAGCCAGCACTGACGGTCCCCACTTCCTTCACGCCTTGTCACAGCCGAACGAATCCGTTGCTTTCTCCTGCCTCCCTCTACAACTCTCAGGCGGGGTTTTACTCGGCAAGGCCCTGCCGGTGTGCGGCGGTGTCTGCCACACGCGGAGGCCTGGCTCCTGCTGGGCTTTCTAGGGGTGCACCCCCAGCCCCCACCAAAGAAGAGAAACCGGAGAAGCCTCGCTGGTCAGCACTTGTGGGGCAGCGACAGTGAACGTGAAGAGGATTCTTGACTTCCTGTGTGAAAGATGTGGCAAACAAATATGGTTTTAATATTGTGTTTTTAAAGTTTTTCTGCAAAAATTGTTCTGCAGTGATTTTAGTGGATTTTGGGTTCAGAGGGCACATTGCCTCACAGGGAAGACCTTCCACTTGGCCTTTATTGGGGGGGCTGGCCGTGGCCACGGCGACTTTGACAGTAATGGCGCGAGAAGACAAGGACCTAGAGATTTGATTCAGTAAGTTTTCAGTGGGATTGAGCAGTCTGCAGTTTAATATTAATTTTGAAAAAAAAATCGGCAGTCACCAGTGCATTGTGAAACGGGGTCGCCCCTGACTCAGCAGAGAACGGGCTGTGGAAATGTCGCCCGGCCCCCGAGTCCTTTCGCGTGTGACGTCCTGCAAAGGACAGCCTCTGTCCCCCAGCACTGGGAGCCGGCCCGACACTCCACCTCGCAGGCCTCCGGCGTGTGCGGGCGTGTGCGGGCGTGCGCGGGCGTGCGCGGGCGTGTGCGGGCGTGCTGCCGGTCCCCAGGGAGTCCTTCACGGCCCGAGGACCCAGCTGTGTCTTGTTCAGCCTGGAACTGGCCCTCGGCCTTTCTGTGGCCTCTGCGACCTTGACGTCCAGAAGGTTGCCGGCTGCCTGGGTCGAGGCCGTTGCTGGCGAGGCCTCCAGGTCACACGTCATGTGTGCCTCTTGGGCAGGAGCATCACAGAGGATGTCGGCCTCCTCCCGCATCCTGTTGGGGCGTGGGGCTGACCGCCCCACTGAGCACGCGGGAGCCCAATCGGCCTTCCCGCGAGTGTGCAGTTTTGGAGGCTGTGCTGGGGGCCTGCGCGAGCACCACTGTCCCCCCCGCCTCGCAGCTGGCTTGATGTGAACTCAGGGTGTCCTTTTGACTCCATGGGTGATAATCCGATATTGTCCTCACTTGTCACCTGCGCGGGTTCGTGCAGCCTTTGTCTTGATTCTGTGCTGTTTGGGGACCTCCTCACCCGCCAGCTCGGCTAGTTCTCTGGCCAGGTCGCGGGGACTGGCCCTTTTCCAGGAGCCCAGTACCCTTCAGTGGTGGCCCAGATTCAGAGGCTGTGAGGGTCCTCGTGGAGCTGGGCTGTGGTCGTGCCCGTCCCCGTGGGCAGAATGAGCAAGGCACACACGTGGGCAGCACATACGTCCATGTTCCTGCGCAGTCCTGCTGCATCTGCGCCCCGACCCTTCCAGCCTCTCTGACGGTGAGGATCTTGGTGTCCTCTCCTCCGTGCGCTCGCTGACGTGGGGACCTGTCCTGGCCCTCCCGCACCGGGCCACTTCCCCACAGGCACCGTCCTCCTCTCTGCCCGGCCTGGGCTGCCCCCCGAGGACATGCCTGTCTGCCTGGCTGGTGCAGGTCCCCAGCCCCTGGCCCTGGACCAAGTGCCAGCCCACCCGGCCCTCACAGCTTTGGGATGGTTTACGGGGGGGCCGTTAGCACTTCCCATGCTTCCGCCTCAGGCCTGGCAGCCCCAGGGGTGATGGTGCACCGTGACCAGGTGGAGAGCGGGGCCCAGAGGAGACTGGGGCTGCGTTTTGGGGCAGGCCAGGTGCTTCCGGGATGCCGGGGTGGCCAGGCTCTGGCAGACAGCCGGAAAGGCCGAGTGGTCAAGGGAGGGGCTTGGGGGAGGTCACTGCTGACAAGGAGCAGCGACCAGAGGGTGAGGGTCCGAGCCAGGCCCTGGATGTGACAGAGACCCTTGGGTGCAGAGGTGGGTGGAGGTCGGGCGGTCCTGCGTGCAGAGTTTCAGGTGGCACCGTCACAGCTGGGAGAGCTGGGGGCCAGGTGGGTGGTCGGAGACGGGAGAGCGAAGGCGACCAGGAGGCGGAGGCCGAGGACGAGCTCGGCTGGCAGGCGGGGGACTCGATGGGCTGGTTCCGCCTTCCCCAGACCCGAATGCCGGCAGCACACCGTGGCTCCGGCAGGGTCGGTGCAGTCGGAGCACGTGAACAGACGCTCCCGTGTAGAAGGCGCATCGACACCCTGAGTCTCAGCCCGGTGCGCTCCGTCTCTGGAGACCAGACACTGCGTTCGTCAAGGCCTGTGCCATCCACACTGGCCATGCCTGTCCCCAACTCACCACCCTTCACCCCCTCCTGTGACACCAGCCGAGGACGGCACCTGCCTCTGGGCCCAGCGGGACTCATGAGAAGCGGGCACACGGCTCGGCGCAGAGACGCCTGCCCCCATCCGCACCCCGGCACACCGAGGTGCCAGAGGGACCTGCTTCCTGCGTCTGCCCCCTTCCCGGTGCTCACCCAGAGGAGAGAGGTTGGCAGTGCGTCCCGCCTGGAGGGCTCTCGCAGGGGTCTGCAGGAGATGTGCAACCCACCGGGCCACAGCCGTGCGCCTCGTGCCTCCCCCGAGGCCTGGGAGCGTGGGCGTCTGCCTGGGCCGGGCCAGCGGCTGTGCAGTGAGGCTCACGCCGCAGACATGTCCCACAGCTGTGGAGGTGGTGCCGCTCTGGCCTCTGGGACGAGGGGGGTCGCAGAAAAGGAGACGGACTCCTTTCACTGTGTGTCCGTGCACGTGTGTATGTTGCCCACGCACGTGGCAGGGGCTGCTTCCAGGGCTTGAGCGTCGGTCAGTCGAGGCTCTCCGGCGGGGAGCCGAGCTGCGCAGTCAGGATAAACGGGCAGCCCGCATGCCGGCTCCTGCGCTGACTCCACTCCTGGCGCGCGTGTGGCCTCTGAAGCACCTGCTGCCTCACTGTGGCCACTGCTGCCTCCCTGGTGGCCACTGATGCCAGAGGGGCTCGGACTGCGGTTCTAGCCACAGCCCTCAGCAGCTGCTGGGGACCGAGCTGGAGGTGGCTGTCAGAGCTCCCGGCATTTCCGGACCCTTCCTCCAGAGAACGAGGTGGCTTCTCCATGGAGGTGGCACCGGTCTCTGCCCAGAGGTGCAGGCAGAGGCTGTCCTGGGTGCCAGTGTCAGATGCTGCTACAGCAACACGGGCAGCGCCGCGGACGCCCGAGCGGGCTGCGTGGTGGAGGAGGTGTAGGGCGGGGTCCCGGGCTCCCGGCACAGCCCCGGGCTCAGGGAGACGCAGCGCGTCGCACCGCAGAGGCTGCTGACGACAGAACCTGCAGGCGGTGTGCGGCCACACAACGCAGAGCCGTTAAAAACCGCTTCTGATTTCAAAGTGGCCCTTTGCTGTGTGTGTTTTCTCAATTAAAACTTCCTTGCTGAAGCTCACACGACTAATTAGTGGTAGAGCCCTTCAGAGCCACACGCAGAGAGTCGCTCTCGGTCTGGCGGGTGGCACTCACTCAACACGTCAGGTAGCAGATCCTCGTGGGGTGCCCGGCGTGCGCTCCACTGTCCGTTGTCTGCAGGGGGCGCTGCCTGCTGACTCGGCTGCTCCCGGCCAGTGCCTCCCAGGCAGGGCCGACCCAGGCCAGGAAACGTGGCCAGCGGCCGGCCTCGCCCCCCCCCCCCCCCCGTCCACTCTCTCATCCCCCCAGCCCCCTCCCCCCCCGGCTCATGCCCTTTTTTCTGATTCTCCCGTCGTCTGCATGCAACTCAGGAGGTGCTGCGGGCTCTAAGGGGAGGGGGCGCCCTGGAGGGCCCCTCAGCAGCATCTCTCCGGCTGAGAACAGACGGGGTCCGTGGAGCCCTGTGCCCTGCCCCCTCGAGGACCCTCGGGGACCGGCCGGGGGAAGGCGGGTCCCCGACACCGGCGTGCAGGGAGGGTGGGCAGGACAGTCTTGCGTGAGGACAGCGGGAGGTGACAGGAACACTCCACTCCTCCAGGTGACCCAGGCCAAGCCCCCCCGCCCCGGGACCTTGTGGCTGTGGACCCGGGCACTTGACCAGCTCATCTTCCCTGTGTTGAGGTCAGCGGACGAGTGCCTCTGCCCACCCAGTCCGAGTGTCCTGCACCGTGGAGGGTCTGTGGGAAAGCTGCTGGCGGCAAGGTGGACCCGGGAGACGTGAGAGGCGTCTCGTTGAGACGGGGCTGTGGCTCCAAACGTGTGTTCTGGCTGCCCCCCCCCTGCCCCCATTGGACCGGCGTAGCTGTGGGCAGCACCCACGCAGGAGCTGGGCGTGGTTCGTTGTTGTCTGGTTTAGCCTCGTGCACAGGCGCTAAACGCATCCCCTCAGTTGCCTGTTCTCCCCTCACCTGTCCTCTCCCGCTCGCTACCAGGCTCTGGGAAGGAGCCGTGGGGTTAATGGGCGGCAGGGCCCCCCCTGGATGGGCTGTGACGCCCACTTAATGGGCGGCAGCCTGACAGATGGCCCGTGGCTGCCTGCCCTGCCCTCCCCTGGTGGGCCGGCGCCCTGACCCAGACCGGGGAACAGAGAGGCTGCTGTCGGGTCACTGCCTCCGCAAGGGCTGGGTGCTGGTGAGGCCGGGAGCACAGAGAGTGTGGCCACAGTGCTCTGCAGTGCTGCTCGCCCCCCACAGGCGCTTGCACAGGGAGGGGGCCTCTGGGGGCACAGCTCGGGGCGGGCTGCAGCACAGAGCCTCCCCGACCCGGGGAGCTTCCCCTGGGCGCCCCCCTTTGTCAGGTTCTTTAAGGGCAGACAAGAGAAGTGCCCAGTCGGTGGGCTCCTGGACTGGCCCATTGCCTTTCTGGTGAGGAAGCCACCTCCGCTCTCGTAGTGCAGACTTCGGCCAGTGAGACACAGGGCTCCAGGGAGCGTCCGCACCAGCTCCGGCCTCCCAGGCCCTGGCCGCGCCCAGGCGGTGCCGCGGCTCCTCTGCTCCTGTGCCTCAGTGCGCGCTGCTGCGCCTGCCCCTCCTTTCCTGGCCACTTAGCTCCTGCCTCACCTCCCTCGCTTCCGAGACGGCGGCACTGTCCTTCCAGGATGCAGCAGGGTGAAGGGTGGCGCCTGCGCTCCTGAGTTACAGGCTCTCACAAACACACTGTCCCCTTGCAGATGAGTTAGGCCGGGCTGGCTGTCACCAGTGTCCCTCGGTACCGATGGCCCCACCCTGCAGCAGCCAGTGACCTGGGCCCCCGGGCACAGCCTGGCACCTGCTTTGCAGAGCCTTCGACGGCTTCGATCCTCTCGTGGTGAAGGTCCCCAGATGTAAGCCTGCGCCCAACACATGGGGCATGGCCGTCGTCACCACTGCCACCCGTCCCCGCGCCTTCCCAGAGCCACGCTCTCACCGAGCCCTTTCTGGTCCCCACGGGAGACTTCCCTGCAGTGACAGGTTTGCCAGTCACTCGTATTCGCCACATTCCCTGTGAACTTAGCAGCTGATGTTACCTTCTGTGCGAACGTCGGCAGACCTGTCGAAAGCTGGGAATAGGGTCTCTCTCTCGTTTTCTGGACCCTCTGCTGCCTTTGCTGGGGGTTTATTTCCCAAGAAGAGGAACAGGAGGCCCAGGTTTTACACATTTCTGTGTGTCTGAGAGGACCTCTGTGTGACCCTCCCTCCTGATCATCGGGGTGGAGCCATTCTCACGGGTTCGGAGGCATCGCCCTGCCTGCCGGCCGGCCACCAAGTGTCTGGTGTGCGTGTGGTGAAGGGGGCGTGTGACCCAGGGGTGGGGGCTGGCCTGCGGGCTGGCGTGCTGGGGCCTCGCTTTTCCCCGGGGCGACCACCCAGCCACCTCAGGTCCTGGCAGGCACCTTCCAGAAGCTGGATGGTCTCTCCCAGGAGCACCGCTGGCAGAGTCTCTGGCTGTGGTCGAAGCTGGTGAAGTACAGGGACTTGGTGGCTCAGCGAGCCAGTTTTCCCAATGGCCACAGTCTTCCTTGGGTAAAAGACCCCTTGAACTGCCATGTGACCAGGGGGAGAGCTGCGGTGGGCCCTGCCTGCTGCGGGGCGCCTGCTAGGCAGACACCCAGCATTTCCACGCACGCAGGGGCGGAGCACGGGAGGGGCCTGGGCAGGTGCTGAGACACAGGGCGTGTGGGGCCGGTCCTGGATGACGTGTAGTGTGGCGCCGGGCCCTCGCGGGTGCCCCGGCAGCTCCATCTGTCTGCTCCACACCGGCGACCTGCAGGCGCCGAGCAGGGCCGTCCAGTCGGGTGACTGTGACGGGAACTGTGTCCGAGGTGTGGCAGGCGAGGACGTGCACAAGTAAAGACCTCTCTCCTCTTGTTGCTTTCGCAGATCCCTTGTCGATGGGGCCTCAGAAAGCCCTGGAGACCATCGGCGCCAACCTGCAGAAGCAGTACGAGAACTGGCAGCCCCGGGTAAGCTTCTGCGCTTCTGCCCGCCCCCCAGGCAGCGGGGGTCCCCGCCACCCCTGCAGTCCCACAGTCAGACCCCTCGCCGTGTTTCTTCCTTGAGTGTGTCCGGCGCCCTCCCTGTTACAGTGAGTCACGGTTTTATTTTGCACAGGAGGTGGCCTTTGGTGGCTGCCCTGCTGCCCTGCCAGGCAGAGCTGCCTGTCCTGGCTCCAGCGCTGCAGTGGGGCTGCAGGCTCGGAGTGCTGGGCGCTGGGCAGGCGGCACGCGGGCGGCGCCGCATCTTCCACTGCGGTCGTCTCTGGCTTCTCTCAGTTTTTCACAAAGGAAGAGTGGTGGGGAGGGTGACAGCTGGCGGGTTGCCCGAGGTCTCTGGTTCTCCGTGAGCCTCCCGAAGACCCACTTCCTTTGGACTTCCTCCTCCGCTGGCGTGAGGGTTCCAGCAGGAAATTACAGACTGGGGCCGCTCCTGCAGGCGCCTTTCCACGCAGCTCAGGCAGAGGGCGGTGAGGAGGAATCCCCTGGGGACGCCATGCGGGCGGCAGTGGGCAGGCAGCCCTGCCCGGGGCCCCTGGGGCCTCTGGGGCCTCCGCCCCTCCCAGGGCTGACGGCAGCCCCCGCAGCCGAGGCAGAGCCCCGGGGGCAGACTGGCCTGCTTGCGCTCTGGAGCGTGAGTCTCTTGCCCACGTGATCTGGAGTTGGATCCCTGGTGTGTGAACCCCGCGCTGCACAAAGAGCACAGCAGCCCGGATGGGGGTTCCTACCGAGTCGGGGCTCTGTGTGCAGCGCCGGGCGACCGGCGTTGGGAGGCATCGCTGGGTGGCAGGTGTCTGTCCGCACTTTGTACTGCTTTTTTATTTATTTTTATTTTTAAATTTATTTTGTTGTGCTTTGCACTTCTAGGTGTCAAGTTTATAATAAGGGGCTCTGGTTCCTTAGAAGGCTGCTGCTTGGTGGGGGTTCGGGTCTGTGTGGACCGCCCTCATTGCTCCCTCTGTCACTCCCGGTACCTCCAGGTGGCCCAGTTGAAACACCAGAGCCCCGTCCTGCACCTGGGGCCCCGGGGCTGTGCCCCTTCAAAAGCGGCTGAGCTGGCTCTGGTTAGGGGTAGCAGACAGCTCCTTTGAAGGTTTCACAGGGACTCCAGGGCCTCAGCCAGGCCGGACGGCCCTGCGGGTCGGGGTGGAGGGGGCCGCAGCCAGACCTCCACGCCGGGCAGCGAGTCCAGGTGGCGGTGGATGGCGCGGTGTCACTGGCATCTAGAGCGGGGTGAGCAGGTGCTGTCTCAGTGGAAAGGGCGCCTGCCTGGCCGCACCCGACTGGCCGTCCCTGGGGGGCCTCTCACACTGGCGTAGCGCAGACGCAGCCAGACGCACTCAGGGCTGCCGGTCGTGGTCCTCCCGGGGGAGGCTCTGCTGTCCGTCCCGGTCGCTGTCTTCCTTGGAAAGAAGCGCCACACGAGGCCCGGCATCTGGGAGAACCCTGAGTGCGCAGGGCGGGGTCACGCTGTCTGGTGGGGACACGCTGTCTCTCGGGGGCCCAGGGTCACTCTCCTGCTGGCCTTGTCGCCAGTCTGAGCGAGGTGGGGCCAGCTTGGATGTCTCCCGTCAGCGGGGTCGTCTGAGGCAGGTGTTTTGTGGTCGTAAACCTGCACTTCTGCTGCCTGCACAGGTGCTGCCTCCCCGGGTAGTGGGGGGCTGACTGTAACACCCCTCCTGACCCCTGGGGGGCAGCCCAGCACTCTGGGAGCTGCTGCGTCTGGGACACCTGTGGGCGTCCAGGGGTGTCAGGAAGGGACCGTGTGCAGTGTCGTGTTGTGAAGGCGAGCGTGTCGTCGGGGCCGGCTGGGGTGAACGTTCGGATCACACGTGCAGGAAGAGGCGCAGGAGGGACTCCATCTGGACGGGGTGTGGCCCAGAAGTGGGACAAGGTGCCGGCTGTAGGCCTGGAAAGAAGCGAGAGAACAAGTACTTACTGTTTTCTTTATGCGTGACCATTGCACTCACTTCTAAGTATACACAAATGTTTCAAATTTGCAGCTACAAATGTTGGTGGGCTTCTATTTGAGACGTAAGCCCAGGGCAGTGGGCGGGGCTAAGCCCAGGGCAGTGGGCGGGGCAGCATCCCTGGCCGGCTGGTGGCTGGTGGGGCACGTGCCTCTCTGCCCTCGGGACTGTGGGTGGTTGCAGGACAGAGGCTTGACGGCCCCCTGCATGGCTCTCGGTGTCTGGCCCACCTCACACAGCCACGTGTGGCCTCCTGAGGCGGCGCAGACGTGTGCGGGAGGCGCCTGGGTCCTCACTGTGAATCGGGCCCTTGAAAGGTTGCAAGGCAGAGCACACGCCTGCGGCGTCACGGTGCTGCACAGGGCGCTCAAGCTGCTGCAGTGAGCAAGAGCCAGCTGTGCTCTCAGCTGTAAAAGGAGCCTCGTGGAATTTCTGGGCCTTTGCTGTTGCTGCTCCTGGAGCTTTCGCAGTCCCTGAGCCCTTTCCTGCAAGGCCCTCAAAGGCCGGGCAGCTGGAGAGACGGTCGTTTTCACTAATGTAGCGGAAATTCTCGCCGGCCACCTCTGCGTTTCCTTGGGTGCTGCCTGCCCTGCCCCCTTTCCCTCCCAGCCCTGACTAGTGCAGACTCAGCTTCTTCTGATGAGGGTGGTTTGGGGTCCAGAAGGAATTTGGAGAAACCATGACATGTGCCAGAGCATCAGGCCCCAATTTCCTTGCCAAGCAGATTGCACCTTTTCTCCAGGACTTACCAGTTTGCTGCTGGTGAGATGGCTCCCCCTGATTAAATGTAAGGCTTCACCTCGTTACTGTGGAGGCACGTGGAGCTGGCTGTGCAGGGGATGGAAAGGGAAATGCCGGCTGTTGTTTCAGCTGGAAATTTGGCCACCGAATGGTCCTCCCTCACTGCATCACACGTCTGCCCTGAACGTGTTCTCGGTGGCAGTGGGAGGTCACAGAGCCAGGCACGTCCGGGGGGCTCTCTCTCTAAGCCCTTTTTCACCAGTTGGGGTCCTGGCAGCTCAGTGCTGGTGTCGTGGAGGAGCCAAGCCCACGGGAGGTGCAGACGGCAGGTCTCGTCTCTGCTCCTGCCTCAGAGGGCGCTCCCGGCCGGAACAGAGCAGCCTCCTTGGCAGCAGGGCAGCTCCCGGGGAGGCCAGGACGCAGGTGTGCGTGGGCGTTGGCAGCTCACAGGTGGGCGGGGAAATTCGGTGGAACCTGCCCTGTTGGCAGACCCCGGCTCAGCCCATTTCGTTCGTGCCGACACAAGGGGACAGAGGGGCCTTTTGGTGCCCCAGTCTAAGGCGCTGTGCCCCAGGAGCACCTTCGCCTCCAACCAGGCCCGTGAGCAGCGCTGGCGCCTGACCTGCACAGCAGCCGTGGGCTCCGCAGGCAGCGGACGGCTGACAGTTCCGTTACCCGTGTGGGACCGTTCCCGGCGTCCGCGGACTGCAGTCCCGGGCTCCGGGCCTCAGCCTCTCCTTCAGCTCACCGTGCCTGCCAGGCCAGTCGCCGTCGCTGGGCAGCCAAGGGCCAGCAGCTGGTTTTGCTGTCGGGCAGACAGGTTCTCTGGTGCTTCGGGGACGCAGAGTGTCCTCTGGGAGGGAGGTCTGTCTGGGACCAAGCACAGCTCCTGGCTGTGGCCCACTGTCCACGCAGAAAGTGGCGTTGTAGTTGACAAAAGGGCCGGCACCCTTCCCTTTGTGGTGGACCCAGAGTTGTGAGCTTGGCTTTCAGAGCTCGTGCCAGTGGCCCAAGGCTGCCGGCTCCACCTCCTGGTGGGGGGAGCCGTGGGAGGCGGGGCGGGGCCGAGGCCTGGTCGGGGGCAGGGTGGGCATCGTCCTCCTGTTTGTGGCGCGCACAGGCTCACCCCCGAGTTTTAGGCGTGGGTGCAGTCTGCAGACCCTGAGGCCCGATGGGTTAGTGCTTCAGGCAGCTGCTCGCCTCCTCCCTGAAACCTGCTGGGGGTGGACCGGCCGCTCTGGGAGGAAGACGCGAGTGTCCCAGCCAGCAAGCTGCCAGTCCCGTGGGGCTGGCCATCGAGTGGGGCTTAGGGAAAGGGCCCCGAGAGGCCAGGATGCTGGGTCGGGCGACTCGCCACCTGTCCAGTGGGTGCCCTTCCTGGGGCCAGTCACAGTCTGTGTGACCCACGGACAGTGGCACCAGCCTCTCTGGGGCATGAGTGGGGGCAGAGCAGCAGGCATTGGTGCAGCGGCCCCCCAACCTCCCTCAGTGAGGAGAGGCTGCTGTGTGGGTGGGCTCCGCCTGTCATCGGGGTGTTCGGAGTCCAGGTGGGTGTTCAAGGAAGAGACCAGCTTCGCGTAGCTGTTCCCGCCTGGGAGGGGCTGGAGACAGTGTGGACTGTCCCTCCGGGGAGCCTGCTGGGCGCGGTTGCCTGGCCTCAGTCCCCACTTGCCATGCAGTTCAGCAGCGAGGGGGCTTCTCGGGGAACCAGCAGGCCCAGGCCGGCGGCTCCCTCTCCTGTAGTCACCTTTCCAGTTTCCTTCTCTCTGGGCCCTCGGGCTGGGCTTCACCCACTTTGTCTGTGTTTTCATGACAAGCGGCAGCTGAGGGCCAGCTGTGGCCACAGGCAGAGCTGCCGCCGGAGGGCCAGCTCCCGGCACTCAGTCTGGTGCGAAGCCCGAGTGTCACTCGCTCTGCACGGCCAGACGACGCCTGTCCTCTGGGGTTTACCGGCGTGTCGCCAGCCTCACTGAAGGGCTTTCTTCCCAGAACGCCAGCGTTTGTCCCTGTGACAGGCACTTTATTATCTTTTGCTTTGGCTCTAATCATGTTCCCCCTTCATCTTCCCTGTCCTCCCTCAGCGCTCACCTGACAGCTTCCCCCCGGGAAGCCGGTTCGTGCTTGGCAGCAGCGGGCTCCTGCTCAGCTCTCCCGCACGCCTCCTGCCTCGACAGGCTCCGGTGGCCAGGGCGCGGGCGACGGGCTGCGGGCCGTGGGTCCGGGCTCTGAAGCTGCTTGTAGCAGGTCTCTGTGCTGATA